GGATGATATCAAGTCAGTTAGGAACCTCTGGAACTGAAAAATCCCGAGAAAACCGTCAAAAAACCGAACATCCGACCCGCGCTTGCGCGGGTCGGATTGATCCGACCCGCGCTTGCGCGGGTCGGATTGATCCGACCCGCGCTTGCGCGGGTCGGATTGATCCGACCCGCGCTTGCGCGGGTCGGATTGATCCGTCCCGCGCTTGCGCGGGTCGGATCATTCCGTCCTGCGCTTAGCGCGGGTTCGCCGACTTTCTCCCTTTTTTTGGTTTCTTTCTTCCGGGACTTGTTCTTGTTGCGTATTCGTTCGATTTGTTGACTTGTATGCTTCGTCGCGAGACCGATCGTCGAACGCGCGTTGGTTAACATACGCGTGCTGATCGATGCGCGCGGGCTGATTGACGTGCGTGCGTTGACTGGCGCGCACGAGGTGATTTGACGTGCGCGCGTTGACCGGCGCGCACGAGTTGGTTGACGTGCGCGCGTTGACCGGCGCACACGAGTTGGTTGACGTGCACGCGTTTGACCGGCGCGTACGAGTTGATTCGACGTACGCGCGTTGACCGACGCGCACGGGCTGATCGACGTGCGCGCGTTGACTGGCGCGCACGAGTTGATTGACGTGCACGCGTTTGACCGACGTGCACGAGTTGGTTTGACGAATCTTCTTGACTCGCCCATTCATTGCTTCGAGTTTCATGCGGGCTCTCGTAGACAATTTTAGACGCCTACAGATACCCCCTCCAAAGTGTTTCAGCCTCATTCTTTTATAGAGGAGTCTGAAACGCTTTGGATATGATGGATCCCCACTTCCAGTCAGTGTTAAGGGACCTACAGATGATTTCAATTCTTGACTTCTCCATATTTCAGCATATTCTGTATTTTATCGAATAGCTAAAAATTTTTCCGGTGCTGCGTTTATCGTCTGACCGTTATTGAAGCCTTGAACTGGAACTTGTGAGTAGACTCAACTCCTTGATTGAGGAGGAGTTCAGATCTGCAGATCCGGACTCATTGGAGACCGGAAGGACGTTGTAAGGTTCAGCTACCGCAACAATGGGGGCGTTGATCTTCCTTCACTTGCGAGAGGCGGATGATCTGGAGGAGGAGGACGACAGATATTCCTCGAACTTCAGTTGGTTGAACTCGTACTCGACCACTTCTTCAACCGGGATGCAGATCCGAGGTTGCGACACGATAGCTCCGGCAGCGAAGCTGTTGGCTCCCACTGTGGTCGCCAGTTTTTTGCTGCCTTCGGGGTTGTTGTTTTATTCTTGTACCATTGACAAAGGCACATGCAGCTTCGCTGCCTTCGGGGTTGTTGTTTTATTCATGTGCCTTCGGGGTGTAGCACATCGCCAGTTTTTTGCTGCCTTCGGGGTGTAGCACATCGCCAGTTTTTTGCTGCCTTCGGGGTTGTTGTTTTATTCATGTGCCTTCGGGGTTGTTGTTTCATAATGGATAAAGCAAAAAATAGTCGATGGATCAAGCAGTCAATCGGGTCCAGGATAGGACCGGCTCCGCTCGTGCTATCACCATGGTGAAGCAGAGGGACATGGTGTGAGAGGGGGTTATCTCTTCACATGACTCTAAGCCTGGTTCTTTGAGCGGGGGTCTTCTTCCATGCTACACAGACAAGAAGAACAACTCATGAGAGGGTGAAGACCGTTTTCCCCGTGGTATCTCCGACGGTCAATTTAGTCAATGGTCTTAAGTGGAGTTTAAGGGAGGATCCAAGAGCTAATGGGGGCTCTTGTATAGAGCTTTTGAACTTGGGAGTTCTAATGTGCTCTTCTGCGTATAGATGCTAGAGGGTTTCTCTTTTGGTAGAGAATTCTCATCTTTTTAGTTAGATTAGTTCAAGAAAATTATTTTTCTCCCCCCTCTCTATAGTTACGGATATACCTGCATATAAAGAGGTTACGAGGACAGGTTGGTCCATTGGGTCATGCAGAAGGTGGTGACAAGGTGGGGGGCTAAGAGCTTGGCCCTCCTCTGTTTGACAAGTGTTGGCTGGCGACTGGAGGGCAAGTCTTTTCGACGGTGGGAGAAGAGCTTCCGCAATTTCCGAGAAGTGACAGATGTGATGGTTGCAAGCGGGCTGCTAAAGCATCCTCTGTTTGCCAAGTGTTGGCTGGTGATTTGAGGAAAAGCCATTCTAGCTATGGGAGGTGGGCCTCCGCAATTTCTGGGAAGTGACTGGTCATGGCCCACGTGTTGTGTCAGGCCACAGGGCTGTAGATAGGGCGGTGATGGGATCTATCAACATAGATTGTAGCGCTGATGTATATCCGAAGGAGCTATGCCTTAGTAATTTCCAATTCACGTGACTTCAAGTGCCGTGAAGTTTCCTTTTAGGGCCTGTTTGTTTGACTGAAAAAAAGGGAAATCAAAGAAATGGAAAACTATTAAAATGAAGAATTGGTTTGGGAGTGTTTGGTTGGCTAAAAAAAGAAGGAAATCAAAAAATGGAGATGAAATGATGTTAGTTGTCACATTATTATTGGATGATGTGAGTGATTTTTTAAGAAAACTAGTTTTGATGTTGTTTGGTTGGCGAAAAAAATAAGGAAATGAATTATAAGAAACCTATTTCATGTAGTTTGTTGTTTTCTTTTGTTTGGTTCATTCTTAAAAATAAGAAATGAAATGAGATGAGATGAGTTGTCATTGTATTATTGGGTGGTGTGACCCACACTTAAGAAAAGTGTTTTCACAACTTTTTGGGATGAAAACAAAGAAATGAAATGTTAATGAGATGAGGTGAATTGTTATAATATTTTATTGGATGATATGAGTGATTTGAAATGATGAGAAGAGATGAGTTGAGTGATATTTGGATGAAAATAATATTTTATTAGATGTGATGGATGAGTTGTTAGATGAAAATAATATTTTATTAGATGTGATGGATGAGTGGTTAGATGAAAATAACATTTTATTAGATGATGTGGATGAGTTGTTGGATGGAAATAATATTTTATTGGATGTTGTGGGTGAGTTTTAGGGATGGAAATGGAAGAAATAGTATTTTTTGAGATTTTCACCTTTTCCATTTCCATTTGTTGATTTTTAGGAAATAACCGAACAGACCCTTATTCATATTGAATTTCGTCTTCTTCTATCTGCTCAAATGCGCCATCACGAAAACCACTTCACCCTTCACCAACCCAGTGTCTTCAGCAGAGGGTCAATCAAATGCCCATAGTACACAAAATCCAAGGCCATCACCACATCAAACTCCGTTGAGACCAATCTAATCCCCTTCATCTCCCAGATGACCTGGCGGACATCGACGGACCCACCAAGGGCGGCGACGATGTCGGCGTTGGCCTCGGCATTGAAGCGGAGGTTTGGGGAGCACGTACGGGAGGTCGGTGAGGGACGTGAGCCCCGAGGACGGCGGTGGCTGCGAGGCCGGTGCCGGACCCGATCTCGAGGATCCTGAGGGGGGAGTTTAGAGAAGGGGGAGGAGGAGGGTTGAGGGGTTTTGGTCGAGGAGGGATACGAGAGTGGAGGTGGCTGACCAGAGTTGAATCAGAGAGACCTTGAGAAGGGAGCTGGCGGGTTGTTAGGGTTCTGTCGATGGAATCGAGGCGGTGGTGTTGTTCTGATGGTTGTTGATGTTGTTGTTGGGGGTTTAATAAGTCGAGGAAGGATGAGTTACGAGTAGATTCGTGTTGATTTTTTAGCGAATAAAACGAAACTTTACGAGATTTTTTTTTGAACTTTGAAACTTCATGGACTTCAAATCCCGTGAAGTTTAGCAGCTTAACAAAATAGCTGCTAAATTTCACGGGAAGTTTGTAAAGTTTTTTCTCAAAAACTCGGTTTTTAAAAATAAATGCCAAATAAATCGATTTTTGGATTAAATGTTCGGCTTTAAAAATTTGTTCTCAAAAGAAGAGGCATCGATTCGCGGCATAGGATTAGTGCCATGTTTGGATGGAGGGTAGAGAGGGGGAGGGGAAGAGAATGAAGCTTTCACCTTGTTTGGGAGTTTTTTTAAGGAGGGTAGAGAGGAGGAAGGAAGGGGAAAGAAGGGTAAAATTGCTTGGTTTTCTCCCCCCCCCCCGATTTGAGCGGTAGAGGAGGGTAAATGAGGGTAAATGGGTGTAAAGACATTCTTATTCTCATCAAAACAAATAAAAAGGCTGATGTGTTATTAGTATAAAGTCATTTATGTAAATTTACATATATTTACTTCCTTTCACCTTCATTCACCTTACTCAACTCCCAAACAACATATTACAATTCTCTTCCCTTCCCTTCCCGTTGTTTAGCTTTCCTTCCCTTCCCTTAGGGCTTGTTTGGATTGAGGGGAATGAGGGTGAAGGGAAGTTAGGGGAACCATTCACCTCCATTCACCTTGTCTGGGAACACTTAGGAGGTGAAGTTAATTCACCCTAGTTCCCCTTGGTTCACCCCCTAATAGTATAAAATTTGTTACCCCCAAATTGGGGTGTAACCAAGGGGAAGGGAACTCCCTTCCCTTCCCTTCCCTTCCCTTCTCTCAGTTTCCCTTAACTTCCCTTCACCCCCTACAAATCCAAACAGGCCATTAAGAGGTGAAGTTAATTCACCTCCATTCACTTTGGTTCACCCCCTAATAGTATAAAAATTGTTACCCCTCAAATTGGGGTGTAACCAAGGGGAAGAGAATTCACTTCCCTTCCATTCCTTTCCCTTGGGCCTGTTTGGATTCGTAGGGGGTGAAGGGAAGTTAATGGAAACTGAGTGAAAGGAAGGGAAGGAAAAGGAATGGAAGGGAAGGGAATTCCCTTCCCCTTGGTTACACCCCAATTTAGGGGGTAACAATTTTTATACTATTAGGGGGTGAACCAAGGTGAATGGAGGTGAATTAACTTCACCTCCTAAGTATTCCCAAACAAGATGAATGAAGGTGAATGGTTCCCCTAACTTCCCTTCACCCTAATTCTCCTCAATCCAAACAAGCCCTCAGTTTCCCTTTAACTTCCCTTCACCCCCCGAATCCATGCCATTAGTAAACTCCCAAACACACCATAGGGGTTCATTCTTTAATTTCGTTCTTCCTCCTTTTGCCGCTTTCCTTTTTCGTTAGGGTTAGGGTTTGAATCGCCTGAGTACTCGAGATCAATGGAGATTCTTGATTCGCATATCCGTTCTCCACCGGAAAAGAAATGGAAAGTCGACGACGAATCCGAAGAAGATCGCGTCAACGGATCATCAGAATCAAAGAATTCAGTGATCACCACGGAATCGTTCGAATCAAGGGGATCTGCAATGTCCAAGGGATCATATGGATCGGAGGAATCTGCGCTGTTGTCGGCAGGAGATGGGCAGAAGGTACTACCCCATCATATGACACCGCCCTTCATTAAGGAGATGGTCGGCGTCAAAGTCTATTATGCCGGCGATGACAGGGAATCCTCCGACGATGACATGGGCTTGGGCTGCTTCAGTGACGATGCCGATGACAAGGAATCCTCCGACGAGGACATGGGCTTGGGCTACTTCAGTGACAATGCTTACCGGCGAGAGTCTAAAGAGACTGATCATGTAAAAACATTTAATTTTGTGCTTCTGATGGATAAAAGTAAGGACTTTAACCTATATTTTTTTTACTGAATTTATGCAGGGAGATGAGCAGAAGGTATTATCCCATCATAGGATTTTGTGCTTCGGATGGATAAAAGTAAGGACTTTTAACTTTTTTTTATACTGAATATATGCAGGGAGATGAGCGGAAGGTATTACCCCATCAGAGGATACCGCCCTTCCTTAAGGAGATGGCTGGCATCAGAGTCTATTATGCCGGCGATGACAGGGAATCCTCCGACGATGACATGGGCTTGGGCTGCTTCAGTGACGATGCCGATGACAAGGAATCCTCCGACGAGGACATGGGCTTGGGCTACTTCAGTGACAATGCTTACCGGCAAGAGTCTAAAGAGACTGATCATGTAAAAACATTTAATTTTGTGCTTCTGATGGATAAAAGTAAGGACTTTAACCTATATTTTTTTAACTGAATTCATGCAGGTAGATGAGCAGAAGGTATTATCCCATCATAGGACTTTTGTGCTCCGGATGGATAAAAGTAAGGACTTTTAACTTTTTTTTACACTGAATATATGCAGGGAGATGAGTGGGAGGTATTACCCCATCATGGGATACCGCCCTTTGTTAAGGAGAAGGCCGGCTTCAAAGTCTATTATAGTGGCGAGGGCGAGGAATCCTCTGATGCATACCTGCAGGAGATTAAAGAGACTGACCTGCAGGAGATTAAAGAGTCTGATAATGTAAAAACATTTAATTTTGTGCTTCTGATGGATAAAACTAAGGACTACAATTTTTTTAAACTGAATATATGCAGGGAGATGAGCATAAGGTATTACCCCATCATAGGATATCACCCTTCGTTGAGGAGAAGGTCGGCTTGAAAGTCTGTTTTGGTGGCAAGGAATCCACTGATGAAGAGGACATTAGATATTCCAATGAAGATGCCGAGAAATACCTGCAGCAGATCAAACAGACTGGTGTAAGAGATTTCAATCTATTTGATAATTTCGTGCATCTGATGGGTAGAAGTGAGGGCTTTAACATATTTTACTACTTATGCAGGGATATGAAGTGGATTACTTGCCGGGAATCAGCCAGCAAGGAGGCATCCAGCCTACTCAGATGCCACTGCAACTCTGGGGGGTTGAGTTCTACACTGAAATTGTCGAGCATGCCATGCGAGAATATGATGCAAAGAATGTAAGTATTGCGATCCAGTGCGGATTCTACTCACAGATCGTTGACATTATTGTTTGATTGTTGGAGATTTTATGCTATCTATTTGACACGTTGCTTTCTGCAATATGCATGATTTTGATTGTGCTGACATATCTTTAGCATTATTGTTAAGGTCCCTAGCAACTAAGACTCTGAATGTTGTTCAGTGTTGAAGGTTATAGCTTACTCTAACAGAGATACGAATCTTTTAGGACATCATTTTGATTTTGCTAGGTAATTGGAGATATTTAGTTGTTTGCTTTGAAAATTAATGATCCTACGAAGAATTTAGTTAACTCAAATTGTTTTGTGCAATGTGGATAATGTTTAGGAACATGACTAGAGCTAGCATTTTGTTTGCTTGGGTTTGGTTAACAATGACCCCTTTAAATATTTAAATTTATAATTGCTTGGTTTTGGGGAACAATGTCCCATTTAAATATTTAAATTTATATTTCCAAAAGTTAAATTATAACCTTATAACCAGAGGCAGACGGTTGGCCTACCCCAATTTTGAAAAAGTGCTCTTTACAATAGATTAGTATCCAGCGACTAATGCATCTTAGTTTAGTATCTTACTAAAAGATGCTTACACATTATCAGTGTAGTTTGGTTTTTTATAATATTTCTATAACGTTTGTTATTTTCAACTCCGAAGACTTTGTTTTTCATAACTTGCTTTCCAATAACTTGTTAGGACGAGAATCAATTTTATATTGTATTTAATTATATATTTTATTAGATTGTGCAAACATTAAATTTATTATAGTCAGAAGACTGTAATATGATCACAATGGTTACTTAATAATGTCTGTCAGAGAATTGCTTTAAACCATAATAGATTTTGTGCCCTACCTAGATGGAAAAACTTTGCTGTGCTGCTGCTTATAACTACGAATGATGAAGAAGTAATTTTAATGTGTGGCAACTTCAGTGGATATATTTGTATCAATATTCTCTGATGAATGATAGATATTTGATGAACCTTGATGAAACATAAATTAATGTATCATATCGTGTTATTGTATACAAGAGGAGAAGATATCCATAGACAGTCTATAGACTTAATATGCTTTTACATGTAAGGTTGTCAACTTTAACTTCTTTCCACAAGTTTCAGAAATATTTCTTAAGTTCGCAGTTTAACTGCCAGAATTAAATGGTACGTCATTACTTCGTCGTCCATTTCAAGTGCTGCTTTCTGTAACTTTACTCACTCGAAGAACAAGATAGCTATGCAGAATAGTGAACTGCAGAATAATGTGTGGTAAAAACCCAGTAGTATGTGCTTTGTTTTAATAAAAGATTGTCAAATATTGTTGAGAAATTCATATGCACTACCAATTAGGGGAGCCAAAGTTAATGCTCATATAGATGCTATTGATCAGAAGCACCCTTACAAACTTGTAGCATTTTGTAGGTCCATTTTACCTTAGTTGAAAATTAAGATGGTCATAATATTAGTCATTGCAAAGGCTTGTAAACAATTGAGAAATTAGAAATTAAAGCAATTATTGGAAACCGAAGGCAGGAGTAACTTTCGCATACCTGCTCGTGCTTTTTATTTAAGCAGATGTAAGTGTTTCACACTAAGTTGCATGGAAACGGGTACGGGTACTGGTACGGGTGCGGGTACGGGTAGGGGACACGGCAAAACTGTAAAATGTTGGGTACGGGGACACGACTACATATATATATATTGAATTAATAATGTACATGAGATAAAAATTTTCCGCTTCATGTGTCATTAGAATTAAATTTTCGATCACATTTTTGAGTTTATTTTATCATATTGATTATCGTGAATTGTAAACTACTCATTTTTTTCCTAGACGTCTAAACGACCCATTAACTATATAGTTTTGAACTTGGGTATGGACTGAAACGAACCCGATCCATATCCCATTAGTTTCAAAAGACGGATGTGAAGTGTAAGCTCTACGTCTAGGAAGTCTTTGACAAGTGTTTTAAATTAATACATATATCGTCTAATTGAGTACATGTTGTAATAAATGCATGCATATATTTAAGAAGTGTCCATGGAGTTTGGGTACGGGAAAGTGTCGGATACGTGTCCGGTACGGGTACGGCTTCAATAATGAAGTACCCGGGTAACATAGGTTTCACATAATATGCAGAGGGTTTAGGCTTTTAGCCTATCCATTAACTTAAACTATTTTACTGCCAGGTCCATCATAATTGTTCACTATTTTAAATAGCTAAAAGCGCCCGCTTAGGCACACGCCTAGGCATAGGCAATACTCAGACTGCCCAATTTCATTCTATACTCGGAACTCTGAGTTATGCCCTGGAGGCACCTAAGAGGGTGGTACCACGTCATAGACATGTATGCGACTTGTATGTGAAGAAAGTGGATTGAGCTAAAATCAGTCAAGACTCTGTATTTGAATCTTATGTTAGATAAAAATAAATAGGCCTAGAGTTTCAGGTCTTAAAAAAGAAACCTTTCGTCATCAGTTTTTCTCTATGGTTGAAGTCACCTTGGATCGGTCCTGATACTTTTTAAGTGACGTTTATTTTTAATTTGTTATTACTTTTGGTGACAATCATGCTTGCATATTAACTCCTTCATAATTCTCCCTCTCACATGCCTCCTGGTTTGCCATAAACATTCATCTTAATTATCATTTCTCATTCATTTCTGTCATTATCTTCTTCCTCTTTCTCTTCCTCTCTTCCTTTTCCTGTTTTCTTGTGCCTCCTATTTTTGTTGAAGCATCTATCTTAAAACATAACGTGAAATAAAATAAAACAAAACCTGTGATCCTAATCTAGGGTACAGTAGCATTCAATGGTTTCAAAAACAGTGCTATTATTGTATTGTTCTTTCAATCCCAGGAACCCGTTACTATCATTTTCACTTGCACTAGTGCTGGTTGTACTGATATGGCTACTTGTAGGTTTTTTTTAATCAGTATTCCTATTACTTCTATTGTCATTGTTATTGGTTTAATTCTTGTCTGGAAGCATGTTCATTCTTATCTTCTCTAATTGTTGATTCCTATAGGATACTAATCTCCAATTAGTGGGTATCACCCGGCAGAGTTGCGAGTGTGGGGGTCCTATACGCTCTTACATTACTTTTCAAGCGAAAGATGGTGATGATGGTGATGTCAAAACTTACCAAACTCGGGTGAGGATCATTCGTGGAGGAAAGGTCATCGAAGAGGTTAGGTTGAAACTGGGAGAAAAGTGAAAGGTAAATTCAGTAAACTTAGTTCAATAACAAATGCCTTTTTTCTCATGTACAGTATTTTTTTCCCACTACACTGCTGCAACCACTTAACTTCAAGCAATTAGTTTTTATTCAAAGGACTTATAGCCCAACGGCTAAAAACTTGTCTTCCTAAAAGTTCAGTAAGAAATCGGTGCTCACATATTTTATATACTAAATTTTATACACGTGCAATGCATGTGGTTAAACACTATGATTATGTATTTTGGGTTTATTTTCTTACTAAAATTTGTTCATCGGTTACTCTTTGATATTTTTTGCTTATTTTGATCAAGTATTTTTGGTTTATTTTCCTACTAAAATTTGTTCCTCGATTACACTTTGATTAATTATTTATTTAATGTTTGTTTGAATAGGCTACACCCAGTTTAAATTTTTATGTTGATAGTTGAATTGTCAAGTGATAAATATAACCTAAAGTCAATTTAAATTTTTATTTTTTTGGATCGGCATGAAACTGAGCTTAACCTGAGGAAGTATAGTGTTATAAAAGTAAAAACACTTGAAAAATAACATTAGAAAAGAAAGATGAATTATAAAGCCAACGAGCCAAGATGATTCATTTAAAATGGGCTAATATGACAGAAAATAGTTAATGAAAAAAAATCATAAAGTGAATATTAATGCTAACCCTAGTATACTTTTATATGATAAAAGCATCCATATATGCATATGAAAGCACTAAAAATAGTTTATGAAAATCACTTCTAAAGATTCCTAATTTTATTAAAAAAAATAAAATTATTCTATAACAATTCACAAAAAGATTACCTTTTGTTGCTTCTATTTTATTTTATATTGAGTCGAGATCAATCGTTCTTCATCTTTATCTTTTTCCTGAGCAATTATAGAATAGTGTCTTCATCGTCTATATCGATTGTGATATGAGACTGGAGCATATTATCTTTCCTTGGGCTCATTCATCTTTTATCTTCTTGTCTAAATTTACAAAGAAGTTGAATATATTTCTTATGTTTAACACAAACTTTTGACAATACAGACTTTAATTTTTTCCTATTTCAATAAGAATAAATGTCAATTTCATATATATATAAAAAAATTTGTGCTTTTAATTTATTACTTAAATAAGATTAGGAGCTACCTTTTTTCTGTGCAATGAATTCTTCTGTTGTGCATCCAATAAGAGTTTCTGTTGTGTCATAATATTACATTTGCTCTGTCTATGTCATTTTCTATGAGGATCTGAACTAAATACAGTACATTTTCATTGTCAATTTGCTTTAGATTATAATATTAATATTTAATTTTTATATATTTATTTCATGAAGAAGGGATATCACTTAACATTGGTATTACATCATCGTCGATTCTATAATATTTATTATTTGGACACTTATTATTAACATCTTTATCCATTTTCTTGTTGCAACATTTGCAAACATAGAACTACTGCTCAACTCTATTATAAATGGTAGTTATCGTTACCTTAAAGGTGCGATAGTGTATCTGTATATTGATAAATTATTCTTATGTTTAATTGTATAAATTTTAGAGTAGGTTTTCTAAGATCATACCTCTTTCGAATGTTATAATAGTTGTATATATTAGTAATTTGAATTTCTGCTGTATTTATAAAGAGTCTTAATGTAGATACTTTTGTCTTGACAGTTTACTCTAAAAGAGCGCTGCATATTAGCTTTAAATGTAATGTTTTTTTCTTTACGGTGTTATATGAATGTTTGCTTGGTTTACTTACTATTCTCTTATTTCTTCAGTAAATTGTATCTTTTAGATTGATATATTATTGACGCAATTTACGATGACATGCATATCTCCTCTATAAATATGCGACAGATATAAGGTGGATTTTATATTTAGTGGCCTTTAATAAGAATTTTAGTAATGAAATATACTACCTTCATATTTAAAGATCTTAAATTCTAATAATGCTATTACATCATTATCTTTGATCATGGCTTTAAGAATTGATCATTCGTTAGTAGTCATACCCCTATATAAAGTCACACGTAGGGTCGTAACACTATATAAGAAAAAGAAAAAGGCGATTTTATATTTTTTGCTTACACAAAGTAATGACATAGTAATTTTTCTTTTATCTTCCATGAAGAATGTTTCTTTGATTGGAACAAAGTTGTTCAATATATTCTTCAGGGGGTATTCAGTTAGTGTTTCTTTGATAAATATAACTTATGTTAGTGTTAATTGAAATGATTCACGGATGTTCCGAATTCCATTTGAAATGAAATCTGCTTGATTCTTTTGAAGGATATCTCTAAATTTTCTAATAGTTCTCCATACATAAATATTTATAATTTTTTACCCTATAAATATTATTACCATTAGAGATCAATATTTATAAATTATAATCAATTAATGTTAAGCTATCATATTATAGTCTTTTATCATTTTTTTGCGATTTAGTCTTCTATCAATTAATGATACTTATGTATTTTTGCTGTTCTAACATATTGGTAAAATTATATATATGCAGTTACTTTAATTTATACATTAACATTAATTTTTAATCTATCATATTTTTTTTAAATTTTTATTCTTTAACTGGATGTTTTTAATTTGTTATTATTACTATTTTTTACCAGTATCAACTTGATTATTTTTAGATTCTAAAAAGTGATAGTAACCTTAAATTATAAGTTATATTTATATATCTTAATGAAAGAATATCACACAAATTACTCTTTTCTTTGCCAAGTTCTAATTTTTTAGTTTTTTTGTGTAATTTTAAACTTTTGATAGTATTTTGTCTAATTTTTGAAACTTTTGGCTTTTTTTTATTATGCTCCATGTAATAAACTGATACTACAGAGCTGTTTCATATATTTTATTAATCTTATTTAAATTGTTGAGCCATAGATAGTTCATGGGGTATTATGATAGGATATAAGTATGATTAGGATAGATTGTAATTTAAATTAAATATTTAAAATAGTACAGGGTAATTTTGACTTCCCGAACTCGTGCTTTTAAAGAGAGTATGATTTTTGTTTTTCTTAAATTTTTTTTTATAATTTTGAGAATGACTTTTGTCTCTTTAATTTGTTTGGTGGATTTTGTAAATATCTCATCCATATTATGTATATTTGTAGGTCTATGTTATTCCTGGGTTCGACATTTGAGGTAGACATTATTTGTCTCATTAATTTATTTGGGTTTTACATATACGCTCTTCATTTTGTAGACATTTATAAATTTGGCATTTAATAACTTTATTTAGATTTATATTTCAATTTAAACTGTATCCTTATCTTCATACTATGTATATCCAATAAGAATTCATTAATTTATCAACTTACTCTTACTTAATGAAATAATATTTGAATTCCAAGTGTATTTTTGTCTACCAAAAGATTTTCCCTAACTCGTGCTTTTAAAGAGAGTATGATATGATATGATATGATATGATCTATCTTTACATGCATGTATGAATCATGTTAGTTTATTTGTATTATTATACTTATCTTTGCTAGTATCATGTATTATTGTGACTAAAAATTAGGTCACATTTATTTCTTTCCAATATTATTGTCATATTATTTTCTATTTTGAATTCTTCTTCAATAAAATACTGTTTCTATAGTTGACAATGGATAGAGGAAAGTTTACAATGTAATATTAAATCCTAAGAACGAATGGCATTCAGATTGGATGTACAACATGTATAATGAGGGAAATAAATGCCAACAAGCCTAAGATAGTCATACATGTCAGTAATTATGTAAAGTAAATTGGTATAAGTATTAATGTATCATGATTAGTGAAAACTTTGATTTGTTACGCCAAGTTGTTTGTAAATTTTCTGCACCTGAAAGATTATTCAGCCTAATTTGGCATAAAAATGACCATGAAACAAATAATGCTTTCTTTTTTATGAGAAGATAACTCATACCTCCATCTCAGTCATTAGATCACGATACTTTCATCAAAATCTCGTTTTGTTTGAAATTTTAAATTTCAATTGGTTCATGTGTCATTAAAATATAAAACATATAGAGCTATGTATCCACTCTTCTCTTAACTAAAAAGTACCATGTTAAAAGAAATTGATATGCTCTGTTCCCTTTTACTTAATTTTTTTTTAAAAAAGGCTTGGTGAAATATTCATGTTGATCTTTAAGATCGCGATGTCAGTTTGGTTTGGATTTCTTCAACTGGAATATTTTAATTGTTACATTGTTTATATTAGTTATAATCTGATTATGAGTTTTTATGATTTTGGGATATATATTGCCGACCTACAGCAACATGTTTTGAACAATTTTGCCATTTATGTACTTTTATATTGTTTGTATGGCCCTTGTGATATCTGTGGCTTGATAGAGATAAATATAGTTTAGATTGTTGATCGCAAGTGTTAAAATTGTTATTAATAATTTCCAAAAGTTTATGGGTATTATTTTACAAATTTGGAAGTTCATCTTTAATATATTTTTTAAATACACTGTTCTGATTTTTTTTTAATTTCCTTCAATTAGCACGTGTCTACTGTTTACATGTAATGTAGAAGTATATGATAATGGAAGAATTTGATAAAGGTCAACTTAGGAAAGAAATTGATAATAGTCAACTTAGGACCTCTTTGGGCATTTTTGTGAAAGTTGAGGATTTATGACACAATATGGAAGGTGGACATCCACGCCTATTTTCCCTTCAAAATTTCCGTCAGTTATCTCTTAATTCTATTTTCCCTCAGTTGTCTATTTTCCATTGGATTTTCTGATAATGTTTCTGCTTCACAACAAAATCTTCATCTTTTGAGGGGATTTTGTTTTGAGAAGTTATGAATAACGGATGAGCATTTACGTGCTTTTCAGATATGCCGCCAAACAGAGAAAATATATGAAAGTAAAATATGGACCTTACAGTTTGGCAACTTATGTTTCCTTCAAAATACATACAACCGAACATGCCTTTAATTGGAGGAACCTTGAATCCATACTTGTATTTAGGAGAAGTCCCCCATTGTTCAACCTCTTATGTGTAAGTCACAATTAAAACAAAAAATTCAAGAACCTCCTCATAATTTAAAACCCCCAGACTGCACACACATTATTTTAGAAAAAGAACCTCCCGCTTTCCAAAATTCTAAAAGTGTCCTCACACTTTAAAAATCTATCACGCATTCCAAAATACCAAAAATGTCCTTACACTTTCAAATTTCCAAAAAATGCCCTCACATCCAAAAAACACACCTAACCAACACGCCTTCTACACTCCACACTCTAATATATTAAATCCAAACATATGCTAATGGAAATGTACGATCCATGTAGTTGACCCTGAGTAGAACAACAATGAATAATGTGATTCATGTGGCCGACCCACAAAAGATTTGGTTAACGACTTTATTTCTGTTATTTCTGCTTCATGTAATATTTGACATCTGGAACTAAACCATGCGTAGTCTCTTGTATTTCCCCTTTCTTTTATCATCTTGTCTGACATGTACATGAGCGAGAAGATGTTAGACAAAAAGTTGAATTTCTATGCGAAATTAAATTTTAGTTGCTCTTAAAACGCCATATTGAATTGGGAATGTGTAGATAGGGGGACGGGACTCATTACGGTTTACTGAAAGCTTGTTTGAACCATCTCAATTTGACTAAATACCCTTTAATTTGGGCGTCCTGTAGGTAACCCTGTACTATTTTTACCCCACTAAAACTCCATCCGCCCAAATTTGTGATATATACACAATAAATTTATTTGAGTGTTTGCGTATATACGCCCCAAATCTATTGTATGGGCAAATTGACCCTTTAAATCCGAGATACAGCCAAGATTAAGTTAATTAATTTATAGCCAAATGATGGTAATCTACAGAAAACCCCCCCTCGACGTTTGCATGATTGGTAGAAAACCTGCTGAGGTTTTGAACGTGATACAAAACTTGATTTTTCGAGGTATAAAAACTAGATTTTTCATTGCACGGGATGCTTGCGTGATACAATACATCTTGAAAGTGCTCGGCCATGCGTATCTCAAATCCTAATGGGTAAGTAGGCATATAATATTTAATATAAGAGTAAATTGGTGTATTGACTTATAAAGTGATGTCTTTTTTACCAATAGCCTAAATAATTGACTCCAATGATAACCAGATCTAAAATTGATACTATTAACCAAAATGTATACTCTCCGATAGTTGGAATTTTGATGAACGGCAGAACTAATGGTTTTTTGCATATATACATGTCAAATCTCCTTCACTTATAGATTTACCCTCTAAATTCAAATATTCTCAAAATAAATACAACTCTCTGTCCACCATCTCCTCCATCCTCCTCTATCACTCTCCTCTCACACTCCCTCTCCACTTTCCTCCTCTCCCAGCTCCTAGTGGCAGAGCCAAGGGGGGTTGCGGTCCTAATTGCCGCCGCACCGCCGCGACAACAAAACACCAAAGCCCCCACGACCACTATATTTAACATGTAGGTTGTCCCGTAAAAATCCCTTAAATCATTCATATATCGAAATTACCCACCTCAACTCACCAAAATTGCTATTAGGTCCCCTACTGTTTAAGTAATTTCAAATTAATTTGATTTAGGTCCCTTACTGTTTAAGTAATTTCAAATTAATTTGATTTAGATCCCTTACTGTTTAAGTAATTTCAAATTAATTTTATTGTTTCAACTGCTCTTGATTGGATGGAGTAATTTCAAAACAACTTGCTTATTATTAATGTCAACCATTTGAGGGAATTATTCATAATACGAAGGATGTAAAGGACTAATATGGAAAGACTCATTGAACTATAAAGTAATTGTCCAAGCAATATCCATAAATTGGGGAGCAAGGTATTATATAAAGGAAAAGAGTTTTGGCCTTGTGGATGAGATCAACTAATTGGCTGGGTTATCAGTCTGTAGAAAAAAAAAAAAAACTAAGTTGCATAGCTAACAAGTTATTTACTATGATTTTTGCTCATCCTTTAACACGAATCCCTTTTTCCTTTCTTAGACTGTACTTTCTAAGATTTTAAGCCAAATAGAAACGTTCCAGTTAGTTCATTGAGTCATTTCTTAGGTTTTATGGTTTGCCTTTCGGTTAAAAATGTTGGGATTCTCATCACCTATTTGATTATCATTTTCTAAGTAATTTTAGTTCCACGTTTTCTTTTCCTTTATACAGAGTTGCAACAATCTGAATGATTTATATTTTGCATTTTCACGTACTTCTCACTTTATTAATAGAATTGTGAAATAACTTTTTATTTTTATACAGTTTTGCATTTTGGTTCATTAATTTTGAAATTAGGAAATTGATGTGAAATTTTAAAACCTGTAACATATTGTCAATCTATCATGTCTCCAAAAAGATTAGAATTTGTAGCTTATGGTTTTCAAAAAAAAAAATATAAAAAAACCAGCTACAACTAGTATATTTTAGAAATTTGATTTTTTGGCATTAGTCCTCCAAACCTTTCATATTTTGAAATCAGTCCCCCATCTTGCTATTTCAAAATTAGTACCTTAAATCCATAAGTTGTTTGGAATTAGTCCCTAGAATCTTCATATTTTGAAATTGATCTCTCAAATATTCTAATGTTTCAAATATTCTAATGTTTTGAAATCAATCCTCTTTAGCAGGTAGCTGAAATATTGGGGAACTAATTTCGAAGCACTTATAAGATTAATTCGAAGAAAATGTCAAGAATTGAGGGACTAATTTCATAATATGGAAGATTTGTGGACAAATATTTAAGAAAAACCCACATAATATAAATCCTGTCCTAAATAAAAGTCCTAAGCTCCGACAAATATGAAGAAAATTTTACTAACATCGTAATGATCTAGTTTTAAATATTAAGACTATTACCATCTAACAGTGAACTCATAGGCCGAGAATTGGTTCTGTATCCAGTCGGATTATAGAAAGTCCGAAGAAAGTATATATTTCCATAGAAATTTTCATAAAAATTTGATAATAAAATTTATGAACATTGCTCCTCCCAACTTATTGTATTGTAATTTACCATTTGCTAATTGCTAGGAAATTAGTAAAATTTTAAATCAATGAAATTTATATACTAAATAACAAAGATTTTGCTGCATTTGTTGGATGGTGCGGCAGAAATTATAAACTCTAGCAACCGAAATACCTAGAAGAAACCAATTGTTGGGTTTTACCCCTCATAACACTAGACACAAAATTGTTGCTTATGGTAATAAAAAAAAAATCATCCTTTACTATTATAATATTATTATTGGTATTATTGTTGCAAGAAAAGTCAAATTAGGCAATTTTCCAAAAAAAAATATTAACCCTGACATATACAAAGGGGATTTCATTTCATTTTTATAGAACAACTATAATTAAGCAGTATCTACTATGCTCTTCATATATAGTCTTGGATCCATCAATCAAATTATATGTTTCCACTGTTATGATCTGCTCTTTCTCAAATATACGAGCTATAATTTATCTAAACCCCAGATGTTAGGTTTCATATTTATGAGCCTATTGTTTAATCTGGTTTTGATGATTAACAAATAATTCTATACATTGTTTATTGAGTATTTGCATTTGCTTGTTAGGTATCCTACACAAACATCCTATGTCGGAGGTTGGTTTGAATAGAGCCTTAACGACGATATCTTGGAGGTTGGAGGAAATTAGAATGAAGTCATTTGCGCATTCAAGACAAAGATTCTATATTGTGCTTCATCCCTGCTACCAAGATCGAGCTTCACGGAGATTTCTAAGCTTGGTATAGTGTTTGTAGTTTAGGTGTGTGTGTGTTTATACTTAAAGCTCAAATATTTCGCGGACACGTTATTCTTTTTATCATTTTCATTGTTTGTTTCACTTTGTTAAAGGATTTTAGAATATCTTTGTGGATAAGTTGTTTAAAATGATTTCATTAGAATCATGTGTTTTAACGACTTCGTGTTCTTGATGATTCTGTTAATCTATGAAATCATATTAAACGAATTCGTATTTTTGACCGTATTTGCAAAATAACGAGTTTTCACAAATGGGAAATGCTATTTTAGAAATTTCTTTTCAAACATGTTTATTTTCATATATATAAACATTTCCTCAATTTTTAATATTTTTGGAGTTGTTTTACTATTTTAAATTGAATTTAGAAAATCAAGTTTTCAGTTTTCAGGTTTCTGCGAACAATGTTTTAAGTCGACCGAACAATATTTTCAGTTGACCGAAAAAAGTATTTTCAGTTGACCAAAAAAAGTATTTTCAGTCGACCGAACAGTGTTTTCAGTTGAGCGAATAGTGTTTTCAGTTTTTAGTGTGATGTATCGGTTTTCAGTCAACCGGTTGAAATGATCAGTCGACCGGACAAAAGCGTTTTTACAACATTCTTTCTTTTACAGTCTATCAGTCGACCGATACATGTTTCTGTTACTGTAATGTCTAGTTGATCAATCGACCGATAAATCCAACCAGTCAACTGATATGTTCTTTTTACTGTAACGGCTAGTTTTTGACAGATTTGTTTAAGAGGCTATAAATAGCCCTCAAGATTTCTTTGAACATTAAGAGTTTTACAAGAAATGTTTGGCCATTTTTTGGTATGAGTTTTTTTTAATAAAAATCAAGTATGTTTATGTGAAAAAGAGTTTACAAAGAGAAATATTTCAATTTTGTTTTTGAGGATTTCAACCTCAAATCTCTACCTCTCTTTGTCTTGGATAAATTTTCTAAACTCTTTATCTAGCTAATTATTAATTTGATTCTTATATATAAGCTTGAATTATTTGAGTTTAATTTCGTTTTACTCATTGTTTACACACGTAACCACTTGAGCTTTAGTATTTCACATATTGTATATCTGGTATGTGAGGTTGTTTCATTGAGTGAGCTTACAATTCGTTCTCGCTAATTTAGAAATCAAAATCTTTATTTGAACTTATCGTTGAACACATTGTAAATTTGTAATACACAAGGACACTTAGATGAGTGGTTGGAGATGATCGAGGTTAATTCTAATAGGAGTGGGTTGGTTGTAAACCCTAGAGAGATATTGTAATTCCAAACACTTGAGGAATGTGACATGTGTAGTCTAACATTTAGAGGAGTGTAGCTTGTGTGATTGGCATCGTGTGAATTGTAGAAGTTTTCGGTGAACTTTGAAAACTATTTTGTGTAAGATATAGTAGAGATCTACTCGAGGTGAGGAGCGAAGACGTAGGTCGAGGGTTGACCGAACTCCGTGACTATATCGTGTGTCTGCGATTGTTGTTTTTTGCGCACTATATCTCTTTTTATATTGTGCTTGTTTATATTGCCAATTGTCTCTTGCTTATCCTTGCATATCTTATTGTATATCACATTGCTAGGATATTGCATTACAAGTTATAATTTGGCATCGAAATCAGATTTGATTAGCAATTGCTCTATTCGCCCCCTCTAGGGTACTTTCACCAAATACATACCCAAACAGTAATCAAACATTAAAAATTTACAACTCAAAAAAACTAATTGCATAATATTCTGATGCTGAGATTAAAGGAAAATCAAACAAAGACCTTAAACTGGACTCTAAATCTGTCAAGCAAGGAAATCCAATTGAAAGTTTATACTTCATTTAGTGACAAAGGAAAGTAAGAGCAACTAAGGAGTTAAAATCCCAGAACTTTGCCAATCACTGAATGAGCTGCATTCTCTTGATTATTCACTTGTCCGGATAAATAAAATCTCATAGCATTCACTCATCCAAAAGTACGGGGTAGGAAGCTCTCGATATGAGAGGCACATGGTCATCCGGGAGGCTGGAGTTTGGGCAAACTCTCATAAATCCACCATTTGCCCAATCAGTGCCTTGAGAGTTTCCTATTATCCAATGAGCTTTTTTGTCGCACAATATCCATATCCCACAACCAAAATAGCATGTTTGAGAATATCCGTCTTCGGGTACTGTTGAGTTACTTTTCTCTGTTCGCCCACAAATATTTCCTTGAAAAACAATATAAAAATAAATTATGCTTGCTTTGGGGTTAAGTTTGCAAGTATCTAGATTTTAAGGATAAATTTGCAAATATCTAGATTTTAAGGATAAATTTGTAAATATCTAGATTTTAAGGATAAATTTGTAAATATATTAGATTTTGGAGGTACATATGCAAAAAAACCTAAAATTATTTGTGGAAAGTGTACAAGTAGAAAAGAGGAAAACTTGGGAGGATTGCATGAGACATTTCATCCAAGACAAAAGTAACTATTTCGCCTAATTACATGCGTTGCTATATGGAAAGTGTACAAGTAGAAAAAATAAAATTCATACCTCTTGTCGTTTCATGTAATATCCTTGAAATAGACACCGCCGCACCTCTATCATGGCAGGGACAGGGTGCGCATAAACAGCCTCAAGAAGAGATATGTCACGATTTGCACTATCATCGTCCTTGATTGTGATAAAACCCTTAATTTTAAAGAAGCGCTCCCCCTAAATAATGGTTGAGGAAGAAAATAAATATACTGACTCGACAATGTATAATAAAACATGAAATGTGGTAAAGTTATAATAACATGTTACATGGATTACCTTTTGTGGTAATCAGATTCATATAATAAAACATGAAATGTGGTAAAGTTATAAAAACATGTTACATGGGGTATGACGGGTTTTTTTAGCAAAGTATTGACAATCAGATTCATATCTGACCCCATGATCCATAATATGCATGAAGGCCTTGTTGATTGATAAAGTATAACACCCATTTTTTTGTACTTCTTTCAGTCCTTGGGTTCCGTAGAGTAAACTAAATCCTGTGAAAAGAGTACTTTAATGCCTTCACGTTTATGTTTTATCATATCCATGGATGAAATAACAAATAAATCTGTTAATAATAACAGTTTAGCTTAGTTTGCACATAAATGAATAAAAACACAAATAAATATTATTAAATAAAAAAACTCAAATTCTCTCTTATTTATTTTTCAGAATTTTAGAAGCGCAAAGATCACAAGCCCATGAAGCCCAAAGCCAAAATGGTAATGAATTATGGAAAAATCAAGAAAACAAGCCCATGAAGCACAAGAGAAGCCTAAAGAAAATAAAACCAAAAAAATCAAGAAAAAAGCCCAAATACACACCGTTGCTGCAATCCATAACATGTGGGTTTTTGATTTTCTATGTTAAAAAGGAGGTATGGGTTTTGGATGTTTTTTGTATTTAAAGTGTTGTATGGGGTGTGTATGGGTTTTTAACGAAGTTTAAGGTGGTATGGGTTTGTATTATTAAAATGAGGTATGGGTGTTGTATGGGTTTTTATTGTATTTTAATTGTTTAGGGTTGAGAGATTTTTGTGTATAAATAGAGAAGAGTATGAGAGTCTGAGGGGGTGTGGAAAATTTTGTAGAAGAGTTAATCTTGATTGAGAAAACCCTTAACTTGTAACTTATAATTCTTTTTACATTTAATACAATCTTTTCTCACACTTCACTTTTATTTTTCTCTTTGTTGATGGAAATAATTGTGAAGATAGATTTTTCTTTTCTTTATTTTACACTTTCTTTTGTATTTCCTTTCTTAGCTTAGGTTTAATTCTTGTCTTGCATTTTAATTCATAGTTTAGATTTGCTTCCTTGCAATTTTATTTTATTTCTGTAATTAATATATTTTTTGTTCTTCTTTATTTCCTTTTTCTTTGTTAGCATAGATTTTTCCTTTCTTGTAAGTAATTGTTGCCTTTTATTTTCATAGTATAGATTTTTCTTTTATTTATTCTTCTTTTATTTTCTGTAATTAATTTAATTTTATGTTTATAGTTAGGTTTTTATTTTTGAATGTGCAACTAAAACATTGTAGGAATTTAAGAATTGCATGAAACTAAGTTTGATTTCTTTCTAATTTGTGGAATATTCTCTTGTACAAAATAATAATCATGTTAGGATAATTAATAAGAGATCTAGGAGAAGAACTTGATAACTTACCCTTTCATTAATTTGTTTGATGGGTTACACTTGTGAATTCTAGATTAAGTCTCAAATTGATTTTTCTTGCATGAACGAATTTAACTTAGGTGATAATTTGATAGGGTACCCTTTCATTAAATTGTTTGATGCCCTACATTTAGTAAATATAAAGGAGAATTATAATAAAAATAAGAATAGAATATTTCATAATTACTAAGAGAAATAATTTAGTGGATTCAATTCTAGATTCCTATTTTTAAAAGTGATATCCTCATTTGTTTTTACTTTCTTGATTTTATTCTTTTCTTTTATTCTCTTCTTTTCATTTTCTTTTTATTTTCCTCTTTTCTTGTATGATTTTATTTATTTATTTTTCTTCCCTCTTAATCAAAAGTTTTATTTTGCACATAATACAACAAACAACAACTCTCCTAAACAAACAAACGCTTCCGTTTAATTTATTTGTTTGTAACCTCTCCTAATTGACGCACACATCATAAAAACCAAATCTAATTATTTCTTAAAAACACATTCCTCGTGAGATCGATAACTTATTATACTATAACTTTACACTGTTGTGCACTTACAACATTCAATACATGTTTTTGTGTGCGTTAATTAGGATAGGTTAGAAACAAATAAATTAAAAGGAAGAGTTTGTTTGTTTAGGAGAGTTGTTGTTTGCTGTATTATGTGCAAAACAAAACTTTTGATTAAGAGGGAAGAAAAAGAAATAAATAAAATCATACAAGAAAAGAGGAAAATAAAAAGAAAATAAAAAGAAGAGAATAAAAGAAAAGAATAAAATCAAGAAATTAAAAAACAAATGAGGATATCACTTTTAAAGATATGAATCTAAAATTGAATCTACTAAATTATTTCTCTTAGTAATTATGAAATATTCTCTTTTTTATCTTTATTATTATTATAATTCTCCTTTAGATTTACTAAGTGTAGGGCATCAAACAATTTAATGAAAGGGTACCCTATCAAATTATAA